CATTGGCAGCTTCTATTGGACTGGGCTGCTGAGGTCAGGGAGGTTTTAAAAAGGCCTGGGCCAGGAAGAAGGGGAGCCTTTAGCCATGTGGTCATCCAGGTGAATCTGATCCTGGCTCTCTCCTCATCACCGCATGCTCCAAGAGTGCCCTGCCTCCAGAGGAAACAACAAGCACCTCTGGACGATGCGAGTGAGTAACCTACTAGAGATCCGATCAGATATTTAGCTTCAGTAACTCAGATGCGTGTTTAAACGGCTACCTCAGCCACCCTGGTTTGCTCTATGGGATTCCTTTGATATTCCTGTAATATTTCTATGATATTGCTCTACCTTTTACCCTGTTTCTGTGGTGGGAGAAACCTCCCTAAGGTTCGTTGTCTAGCTGTAATTTGATTGACAGACAACGCGGGTAAAGAAAGACAGCTGTTTATTTGCTCGAGCAAAGACCATAAAGCCAGCAAAAGGCAAAATGGCCCCCCCTAAGGGTGAGGTGATCTTTTATATTTATTATAACAAGGCAAGACTTCATGGTTAACAAAAAAAGCAATATTTGGGTGGTGCTTTTTAAATCTTTGTAACAGCATATTTCTATTAAGCTGAACTAGCACTTTTTTAAAAGCTAAAAGTTAAGTAATAGTAACATTATAATATGTTAGCAAACCTTATACAGTAGTAGATATTTCTCAAGGACACAACCAGTGCACCCAGAACAATGGTTTCTCTGTTTTATCTTACTTCTTGCTGTAGCTGATTTTTCAGCACACAGACACAGATCCACTTTTTAACTCAGAAAATGCTTAATATCGTTAAAATGATTACTTGATACAAGCAAAGGCTTAGCTATCAATCTGCCTTGTGGTCAGCTGCATTGCTAGGCCACAGGTCATGCCTTGTATTTAGCTGTAAAGCTAATACTTTTTAATAATCTAAATTATTGTAAACCTAACAGTATGCTTATCAGAAAACTATTTTATTTTAGGGTAATAACAAACCTGCGCACTACAGTGTTAAGCCACGTTAACCTTGTATATTAAAAAGACTAGTAAGGACCTGGCTCTGGGTTGGGCAGGGGCTCATCATGGAGGACATGAGGCACCTCATCATTGGGCCCTGGGGTTTCCCGCTCTCCTGCCTCCTCCAGAGGCCTGTCTTCATAGTTTCATAGTTTCAGGGTCGGAAGGGACCTAATAGATCTTCTAGCCCGACCCCCCGCCAGGGCGGGAGAACAACCCAAAAAACACAATCTTCTTAAAGATCCCCAGGGTAGGGGCCAGCACCACCTCCCTTGGAAGTTGGTTCCAGCTCCTAGCCGCCCTGACTGTGAAGTAGTTTTTTCGGATGTCCAATCTGTACCTCCTCTCCATCAACTTGTGCCCATTACTCCTTGTTATGCCAGCGGGGGCTAGGGGAAACAGCGTCTCCCCCAAACCCTTCTGGTTCCCCCTAGTGAGTTTATAGACGGTCACCAGGTCCCCCCTCAGCCTTCTCTTGTGGAGGCTGAATAGGTTCAAGTCCCGCAGTCTCTCACTGTAGGGTCTGCCCTGTTGTCCCCGGATCATGCGGGTGGCCCTCCTCTGGACCCTCTCCATGTTGTCCACATCCCTCCTGAAATGGGGCGCACAGAACTGGACACAATACTCCAGCTGCGGCCTGACCAGCGTCGCATAGAGGGGGAGGATCACCTCCCTGGCTCTACTCGAGATGCACCTGTGGATGCACGACAAGGTCCGGTTAGCCCTGCCAACCATGACCTCGCATTGTCGGCCCATGTTCATCTTGGAGTCAATAATGACACCAAGATCCCTTTCCGCCTCCGTGCTCTCAAGTAGGGAGCTCCCCATCTTATAAGTGTGCTGCTGGTTCCTTCTACCCAAGTGCAGCACCCTGCACTTGTCCGTATTGAAACGCATCCTGTTCCTGTCTGCCCACCCCTGTAACCTATCCAGATCCTTCTGCAATCTCTCTCTCCCTGCTAGCGTGCTCACCTCCCCCCAAATTTTGGTGTCATCAGCGAATTTAAACAGGTTGCTCTCCACCCCAACATCAAGATCGCTGATGAAGAAATTGAACAGCGCAGGGCCCAGGACCGAGCCCTGAGGGACTCCACTACCCACCTCCCCCCAAGTCGAATATGATCCATCCACCACCACCCTCTGAGTGCGACCCTTCAGCCAATCTGCAATCCATCTGTCCTCAACATGGGCCTTTGGCTGCTGCACCCAGGAATCACCAGGCTCTGCCAGGGCCCCAGTGGGCTGCATCTTGTCTGAAGACACCTCCTCGACCTTCATATGCACTGTGACCTGGGGACAAGATAAATGTGTCAATGGGGAGCCAGGATCTGGGGGGGGAACATCCCCCAGACACTTGGAAGTAGAGATGGCAGTAAACAAATACTCTCACCTGGAGCTTGTCATCCACTGCCTGCCCCAGCTGAAACCCCTCGGCCAGGGCCACGGCCTCGGCGCAGGTCTCCACGTGGCACCCGCACACCCAGCTCCGCATCTCCTGGGGCAAGATGGCCAGGAACTGCTCCAGCACCACCAGCTCCAGCATCTGCTCCTTGCTGCGGCCCTGGGGCTCCAGCCAGTGCCGGCACACTCCCGCAGGTGGCTGCAAATCTTCCCTGGGCCCTCGGCTTCCCGGTAGCGCAGGCCACGGAAGAGCTGGCGCCAGGACTCTGGGGTGGGGAGCTCATCCCACGGTACCAGCTGTGGAGTCACGGACAGCAGCACAGCCTCACAAGGGGGCTGTATGGCCTGCACCGCGTCCTGCCCCCAAATCTCTTGCTGCTGGACTGGCTCCAGTCTAGACAACACAAGGGACTTCTGCACCCTCAGCCCCTGCTTGCAGACCTCCTGGGTCCTGCTCCTGCTCCTCCAGCTCCCACTGTGAAGGGAAGGCCCACAGCTATCACGGGCTCCAGCACAGCAGCCACGTCTCCCCAGGAGGGATCTCACTGGCCGGGGCCTGGGCTCTCGCTCTCCGTACACTCATGCACGGCACCTATCAGCAGTATCCAGTCCCCAGGAACACCTGTGGGAAAGGAGACAGTGAAAATCTGACCATGGATCCAAGACCCGGGACAGTAACCCTGCCCCAGCCCGAGGTCTTCCTGGCCCTGTTGCTCCTGACCACCCCACTCAGACCAGTGTCAGAGCCGTCCTTCCTGCCCCTCCGGCCCCAGCGCAGGATGCTGGGCGGGCCGGAGAATGGCGCAGCCGCAGCTCTCCACCCCTTCCCCAGCCCATTGCCTGCTCCCTCCTGCCCCAGCCCTGCAGATAGGGTGACCCCCGCTCCCTGATTGGGTGGGACAGTGCCCCAAATAGGAACCTCAAATCCCTGTCCTGGGCTACATGACCCCGGGACAGCATTTGTCCCAAATTCATAGTGTCTAGATGGATGGGCAACCAGGCTTTCCCTTTGCCAGCAGGCAGAGTTCAGGCATGCAAGGGGCTGGTGGGACCCGGATGCAGCAGGCACCAGGGCGCACACACGCCTGCACACAAGCACTTGGTGGTGAATATAGCCAGAGAGGCTGGAGAGCAGCTCTCTGGAGGTAAGTGTATGGGAGTGCGGGCATTAGAGGTATTGGTGGGGCCGGACTGGGGTGGATGGAGGCCCCCCAGGGTGAGGGAAGGAGTGGGGCGGGGGTAATGGAGCGCTGGGCAGGTCTTTCAGGGGGGGGGGCCATGTGCCAGCCCAGATCTCTGTTGGTGGTGAATATAGCCAGAGAGGCTGGAGAGCAGCTCTCTGGAGGTAAGTGTATGGGAGTGCGGGCATTAGAGGTATTGGTGGGGCCGGACTGGGGTGGATGGAGGCCCCCCAGGGTGAGGGAAGGAGTGGGGCGGGGGTAATGGAGCGCTGGGCAGGTCTTTCAGGGGGGGGGGCCATGTGCCAGCCCAGATCTCTGCGCAGTGTGTGTG